CTGGTCCCCTTCCCCAATTCCCCAACACTGTGCACCTCCCCCAGTTCCCCAATTAAAAAAAATATATCTCAAGAATTAAAATGGAAACATTTATATACATAGGACATTTAAATAGAAGGGAATACTAGGAAATGTTTTTGGCATAACTTTCTAAACACAGATTAACAATTTTGTTTAAAATATAAATCACCCATATTAAGTCAAGAATAAATAGAAAACCCTAATAAACGTATAACAGTTTAAAAGAATATTTAATTATTAATTTCTCTCATATTAATTAATGAAGTCAGTCTGTTTTTAATTAGAATGCCTATAGGGTTTTCATTGAACTTGACAGGATGATCCAGAAATTTACACAGAATAGTAATGGGCCAGGCATAACCTAGAAAAGATTGATAAGGTTTTTACAGAAAAGCTATAAACAACTAAAGATACCATAAATTAAAGGATAAGCCATTGATTAGGAGAAGATATTTGCATATAAATAACAAAAGGATTAACAACTTTTTCAAATCTATAAGAAAAAGATAATGGGCAAACAATATGAATGGAAGCTCACCTGAGGGGATACTTAAATGGCCAATAAACTCTATCTCACCAGTAATCAGTGAGATCAACCTAAGACACAATACAATTTCATATTACCAGTTGGCAAATGTTTAGAAGTCTCATATACCAAGTGTTTTTAAGCAAGTGGGGAAAGGAGACCTCTCATACTTGTTGATATGCTTGATGGGAGTATAAATTGGTACAACTACTTTAAAGTTGAACAGTTAACTTCTAGGAAAGCTAAAGATGCTTACAACTCACATCTCAGAAATTACTCTTCTATATATCCATTCTGTAGAGGTTCTAATACATGTGTTTATATGATCGGACATGGGAAAACTGGAAATTGAATAAATGTCTATCAATTTAAAAACTGGGTAAATAAACCATAATATATTTATATAGTGGAATACTGTGCCACACATAAAATATGTGAATTAGAACTGCATGACTCCACATGGATAAAACCTGCAAGTACAATGTTGGGTGAAAACGTGTTTGTAGTAGGATGTAATATGCACCTTTTTTGTAAATTTCAAACCACCCAAAGCAGTAGTACCATATGTTTTTAATGAATACAAAGAAATATGGTATTCACATTTCAGAAGCAAATAAGAACAGTAAACACCAGTGTCAGCAGCATAGTGGATAAAAGAAGTTACTTCTGAGAAGGGAGGGAAATAGATTTTAATTTTGATGAGTAGGTAGAAAAAGAGACTTCAGTTGTAAACTTTCTGAAATAACAATAGTAACTCTTAAAAATCTAGAGAGTATGTATGTTATAACAGTTTCTACATTTTCTGCAAGTTTGAAGTATTTCATAATTTAAAAAATTAGTATGCTCACAAAATCAGTAGAGAAAATTAATGAATCCAAAAACTCGTTCTTTGAGAAGACCAATAAAACTGATAAATCTTTAGCCAGAATGATCAGGAAAGAAGAAAGAAAAGACAAATCTTCAATGTCAGGAATGAGATAAGTGACATCACTGCTGATTCTACAGATATTAGAACAATAGGGAAATATTGTGAAAAACTTTATACCAATAAATTTGACAACTTGGATAAAATGAACAGAATTCTGGAAATACATAAGCTACCAAAGCTCACTAAAGAAGAAATAGTCATAAACAAATTAAACTTGTACTTCAAAACCTTTCCATAAAGATAGCTCTAGGCCTAGTTGGCTCCCTCTATATTTATTCAGCATTTTATTGAAGGTTCTAACCAATGTAATAAGGCATTTACAAGAAGGGAAAGTTGTAAAAGAAGATGGCATGCATGTCTATGTAGAATATCCAACAAAATCTACCTAAAAGCTACTAGAATAAGTGATTTTTAGCAAGTTTGCATGATACAAAATCAGTATACAGCACACATATTTGTATATGCTAACAGCAAACAATTGGAAACAAAAAATTATTTATAATGGCATAAAAAATATGAAACACTTAGGGATAAACCTTGGGGAAAAATGTGAAGAACCTGTACCTTGTAAGCGATAAAACTAAATAAAGGGGAAGATATATCATGCTCAGGGGTGGGAAGATATATCTTGCTCGGAGGTTGGAAGACTGAATGTTGTTAGGTCAGTTCTCTTCAAGTTGATCTATAGATTCAGTGCAATGTCAACCAAATTTTAATGCACTATTTTGTAGATAGAAATTAACAAGCTCATGTAAATACTAAGGTCCCACAACAGACTAAACAACTCTGTAAAGAACAAGGTTGGAATAGTAATTATTTTCTGATTTTAACATATTTTATGAAACTAAAATAGTCAAGAGAGAGTAGTACTGGTGTAAAACTAGACAAAGAGATAAATGAAACGAAATCTAGAAATAGTCCTACATNTCAGCAGCATAGTGGATAAAAGAAGTTACTTCTGAGAAGGGAGGGAAATAGATTTTAATTTTGATGAGTAGGTAGAAAAAGAGACTTCAGTTGTAAACTTTCTGAAATAACAATAGTAACTCTTAAAAATCTAGAGAGTATGTATGTTATAACAGTTTCTACATTTTCTGCAAGTTTGAAGTATTTCATAATTTAAAAAATTAGTATGCTCACAAAATCAGTAGAGAAAATTAATGAATCCAAAAACTCGTTCTTTGAGAAGACCAATAAAATTGATAAATCTTTAGCCAGAATGATCAGGAAAGAAGAAAGAAAAGACAAATCTTCAATGTCAGGAATGAGATAAGTGACATCACTGCTGATTCTACAGATATTAGAACAATAGGGAAATATTGTGAAAAACTTTATACCAATAAATTTGACAACTTGGATAAAATGAACAGAATTCTGGAAATACATAAGCTACCAAAGCTCACTAAAGAAGAAATAGTCATAAACAAATTAAACTTGTACTTCAAAACCTTTCCATAAAGATAGCTCTAGGCCTAGTTGGCTCCCTCTATATTTATTCAGCATTTTATTGAAGGTTCTAACCAATGTAAGAAGGCATTTACAAGAAGGGAAAGTTGTAAAAGAAGATGGCATGCATGTCTATGTAGAATATCCAACAAAATCTACCTAAAAGCTACTAGAATAAGTGATTTTTAGCAAGTTTGCATGATACAAAATCAGTATACAGCACACATATTTGTATATGCTAACAGCAAACAATTGGAAACAAAAAATTATTTATAATGGCATAAAAAATATGAAACACTTAGGGATAAACCTTGGGGAAAAATGTGAAGAACCTGTACCTTGTAAGTGATAAAACTAAATAAAGGGGAAGATATATCATGCTCAGGGGTGGGAAGATATATCTTGCTCGGAGGTTGGAAGACTGAATGTTGTTAGGTCAGTTCTCTTCAAGTTGATCTATAGATTCAGTGCAATGTCAACCAAATTTTAATGCACTATTTTGTAGATAGAAATTAACAAGCTCATGTAAATACTAAGGTCCCACAACAGACTAAACAACTCTGTAAAGAACAAGGTTGGAATAGTAATTATTTTCTGATTTTAACATATTTTATGAAACTAAAATAGTCAAGAGAGAGTAGTACTGGTGTAAAACTAGACAAAGAGATAAATGAAACGAAATCTAGAAATAGTCCTACATATATCTATGGACAACTGATTTTCCAAATGATAATTTTTTCAACAAACAGTGTTTGAACAATTGATTATTCCATACAGGGAGAAAAAAAAACACTTCAGTCCACACCTTGCACAATATATGATAATTGTCTATAGCCTATCCTACATCACAGTTTAAAACAAACCTATAAACCTATTTTGAACTTGGGTTCATTAGGCAGGATTTCTTAGATATAACAAAGCACAATCTGTTTCTAAAAATGATAAATTAGAGTTCATCAAAATTAAAAATTTCTGTTCTGTAAAAGACAGTAGAAAGAAACCACATATTGCAAGAAAATATTTCAAAATCATATACCTCATAAAGTGTTTTATATTCAGAATGTATAAAGAACTGTCACAATTGAATAATAAGAAAACAAAACATCCCCCCACCCCACCAAAAAAAAAAAAAGTGCAAAATATTGAATGGTCTCTTTGCCAAAGAAGATATACTGAAAACATATGAAATGATGCTTTGCTTTACTAGTAATTAGGGAAATGCAAATTGAAAACCACAATGACATGCCTATACACACTTTTTAGAATAGCTAAAAATTGAAAAGATTGGCCATACCAATTGTTAGCAAGAACGTGGAGAAACTGGTACTCCCATACCCTGATGGCTGGAATGCAAAATGGCACAATCACTTTGGAAAACAATTTGGCATTTTCTTGAAAAGTTAAACATACACCTATCACATGATCTACCCATTCCGCTCTTAGACATTTCCCCAGAGAAACTGAAGTATATGTCCATATAAAGACTTGTACACAAATGTTTATAGTAGCTTTGTTTGTAAAAGACAAAAACTGGGAACACCCCAGATGTCCATCAATAGATGAATGGATAAACAAACAGTGGTATATTTATGTGAGGGAATACTAAGCAATAAAAATAAATGAATTATTGGTACATGCTACAACATGGCTGAATTTCAAAAAAAACATTTTGAATGAGAAAAGGCAGATATACATATTGTAGCATACCATGTACTATATGAAATTTTAGGAAATGCAAACGCTAATGTGTATTGACAGAAGGCAAATTTTTGATTGGAGGGTTTGGGAGAGAGCCAGGAAGGAGGGATTTACAATTGCTTTTAAGGGACTTAGGACACTTGAGGATGGTGGTGAATATATTGTTTATTATCTTGATCATGATCATGGTTTCATGAGGTATATATATCAGAATTTATGTGCACTTGATTTCATGTCAGTGTTAGTCTAATAAAGCTTTAAAAAAAAAAGGTTTCTTCTGGAGTTAAACTGTGTAGGTCCAAATTCCAGCTGTTTTACTTATAACTTTAGATAAATTATTTACTTATTTATGCTTTGGTTATTTTTAAAATTGGAGCTAATGATAACATTATCTTCCTTTATAGGGCCGTTGTGGAGAATTGAATGAGATAATCCAGGTAAAATGTGGGGCAGCTAGAAAGTATTCAGTAAATGTTGGGGTTTATTGTCATTGTTGTTATTAATGTTGAGTTGAGTTGACCACAGAGAGAAATCCCTTATACTCCAGCCCCTTCTTGAGATATCACTCCTTTCTGAGATGGCCCCTTCTATTGTTGGATAGTGGGAAAGTCAGCCTGACTAATTTAAATTATTCTGTGAGAATTAGCCCTGTTTTCGGAAACTTAAACAGGAAGAAGGGGAGTGGGAAAGAGAGTTAGTTAGTTTCCACAGCATCATAACTTCTAATACTTAACCATTTTTCCCATCTGTGAATTTCTTCCTCAAAATTTCTCCCACATGCTTCTGTTTAAGCACTTTCCTTGTATTCTGCCCTCTGAGGAACTGGAAAGCCTCTAAGCACCCTGTGAAGTGGGGAAAGTTTGAATTAGGTAATTTGTAAGGTTCTCTGATATTTGGTGACAAGCCATTTTACTAAAAAAAAAAAAAATTAAACTGTGAGGTTCCATACACAATCTCAGTGCATTAGGGCTGAGGAAGAAAACCACAGTCACTGCTAAAGGAAATTCCCAGACCTGCCTCAGACCCTGCACAGCCTGGTAGCCTCTGGGATTTAAAGACCTTAGAATCTGGGAGCACGCCAAGGAGAATAAGTCACCACACTCCTGCTCAGTCCCATGACACCATGAACCTTTAGCTCATAGTAGTGATAGAAGACGTTCTAAAAGGCTAAAGACATCTAAAACTGAAAAGATAGAATGCCTCGCGAAGAAGTCTTCACAGTCAGTCTGGCTTTGTTTTTGCCTTTGTGGGGCCAGGTTTGCACTAAAAGCAGCCTTGGACAAACCTGGAGCACACAGTCAAAGATGGCAGTGCCAATGGCACGTGAATGCACAGTGAGCAGTGCTTGGAAGGAGAGAGTGAGGCGGCGATTTCAACTTTAGTTAAAAATGTATTCTGACTGCATTTGTCAGGTTTTATTTCTTCAGTCTTAAGATACATAGTGTAGTCTGAATTTCGGGTGGCCGTTTTATATCTGATGTCAGAACTTATGAAGAGCACTGCGTTCAGGAGGTCAAGGCCGTAGAGTGAACCTTAGTGGCAGATAACATCGGTATATAGTGTGGCCATCTAGTTCATCCCTAAACTCGACCTTTAATCTCATAAATGCACATTGGTATTTACATAGACTCAAAGATGAACCCATGTGAAGGACTTTAGGTGAATCCATCAACTTGAGCCTCTCACATGAATCTGAGATATTGTTACCATTTAAGAACAATAGCACTTAAAAATATTTCACACCAAAGCTATATTTCATTTTTTCTGAGGCCCACTACAAACATGAATCAATAAGGCAGCTAGCTTAGAAGTGCACACTTAGGAGTTCTGTACTCTAGTAGGAAAATACTAACCAACGAATGCTAAAAAATAGTTTCAAATACAAAATGTGATGACCAGACGAACAGTGTTACAGTTCATTATAGTTGTTGGGTAGGACTTTTAACAGCATGCTCCTCAAATGGTTTCCTGTGGGCGTATGCTTTCTCTCTGCTTAGAGCTATTGGTGAATTGACAATAACAGGTTCCTTGCACGTCCCAGGAAGAGATAACAGTCCTTGGCTTCTGGTTATTGAAATCGAACTAAGTTCTGAAGTCAGTCTGCCTGGGACACCCTCTTATCACCCTCTTATCCAGGGAGTGGGACCCTTGGACGGCCTGGCAAGAGGCTTCTCTGTGGGCACACCGGTGAAAGCTGCCTCCCCGTCACAGCGGGCCGTTTCCCTTTAGAGCAGAGCTGTTCTGCGGATGTCATTTTCTAATGAGGTCACACTACGATATTTATGCCGTACAGATTTGTTTCATTTGTGATTCTGAGCATGAACATATTTATGGCAATACATTATAAAAAATGTTAAAGTAATGTCTTTGATAAATGGGAATCTGATTGTAGTGAAGTTATCTCTCTCTCCCCCGTTCCCTGTTTGCCTCTTAAATGCTTCAGTCTGCATTACCACTCAAAGGTGGATAAAGGAAATCAAAGTCAAAATCATGTTGTTACCTACTAGCCAATTATATATGCTCTTGAAGAAGTGGATTAAACTTATATAAACTTAAAATGCTTTTACATTTTTTTTATGGATAAGAAAATGGCTTGTAGGAAGCTGGCGGGGTTATTTGAAGGAGAGACACTACGTACAGAGCAGTTGTATTAATGGCTCATATTAATTTAAAATACAGTTTATGCATGGATAGGGACAGAGGCCAGAGTAAGCTTTCTTTGGTTGATAGAAGAAAGAAGAATACTTTGGTAATGAGAGCACTAGATTTTTTTTTTAGAGATTTTTATTGGGGAATTGGGGGATGGGAACAG